TATAGATGTAGATTGATGAAATTATAGATACTTATAATGGAAGACTGGGGATTCAAAGTTTTGTACTTTGCTGAAGTGGTAAAGATTTTGGCTTACTCGAAGTATCACTTGAATGAATAATTTTTATTAATATGGAGAAGATGGATTGTTTATATTTAAAAGAAGCATAGAGTGGTGGAATATAATTTAGGTTTTTAGTTAATTTGTTCTTTTATATTTTACCTACTCATGTAGAATAATATACTTTGTGGAGTTAGAGATATTAATACTTGTTTACTTATATTTGAATATTATCCTGGGACTAGGTTTGGGAAGTCCGGGGGGGTGGGAGGTGGGTTTTCATATAGTACTGTGTAATATTTGTAATGTTTTTTTTCTATGATGAAAATAATAAAAATTTTATATTGAAAAAAAAAAATTCTTTCCATTTTCAGAAATAGATTTCAAAGAAAAGAATTCTAATCTAACTCTTTTCCTGTTAGCCTCCCACAGCACAATAACTGATACATGAGAGATCACACTGCTCTTTATAGGACAGACTTGACATCAAGCTGACCTTGGCTGATATTACAAAGCTAAGTAGAGTTGTACTTGATAAGTATCTGGATGGGAAATCACAAATATTAGGCTGTAAACACTATTAGGAAATTAAGAAAACATCCAATAAGGCCTTATAATTATTACAATATTAATACATAGATATGAACATGAAATTACTACAAACTGCATTCACCTCAAAGAAAACTACTGTCTAGATTTTATTGGAAAACTTCACAGATGTTTCATTAAACAGAAAACCAAGGCCAAATAAATTAGCCCTAGATCTACTGATGATGCCATCAAATTAATTTATACAAAATCAGCATGGTATTCCATAATGGGTTATTGCGGGGCTCTCAAAAAATGTTCTTGAACAATGATTTATCAAAGTTTATTTGTGCACATTTGCATTGAAAGCTTAGGACTGATGAATCCTAGATATTGATGTGCAATGCGAATATTTTTAGCAGCAGTTAAATGTACAGTCAACTAAAAATGAATACTTACCATAATGGCTCCGTTATCTTGGCCTACAAATATTCGTCTACTGTCATGATGATAAGCCATAGTTGAACAAGGAGCTGTCCAAAGAAATGTTGATTTGTAAAGTCAGTATTATAGTGAATTGAATTTCTGTCTATCAAAGCAAAGAAATGATTTTACATAACCAAATGTGAAATCATAAAAATTCTGCTCCTAAATTCATATTAGGAGTCTGATATCAACATACCTGAATCTAAGTGTACTTACATGACATTGTATGGTAGATGCTGGGCCAATACTGTCCACTGTCTCTCTTCAGCCATACTCTAATTGTCCTGTAAATATAAATAAGGTGGGAAAGATTAGGGAAATTATTACAGTTGGTCTATTTAGTTCTCCTCATGTGGACCAGATGCATCTTTTACATGCTAATACTAAATAGGCTTATTTAACCAGCATTTATTGTTAAAAAAATCAACACTGGCTGTCACTGACATCTAAGAACTATCAACAGAAGGTAGAACAAATCAGGCATGATCTCTGTTGTAATTCTTCTTATCCCTGCAGTATATTACTCAGGTCAAAAGATTTGCAATAGGAAAAACTATTCTGATACCAAATGGCTTGAAAAGTAATTTTTGAATATGTATAGCATCCACTAGAATATTAATATTTCTGATAAGAGATAACATTGCAAATACTAAATCCCACCTTATTAATTTAAACTTATATAGCCACTCATCTCACACAAGCAATTGAGAGGTGAGTACAGTCAGTATAATACAAAATAATACATGACATATTGTAATGCAAGGGGGCAAAACGGATAAATTATGTTTTTGCCATCAACTCTTGCTCACACCAGGAAATTCTATTAATTGTTGTATACCTCCCACATGCCCATCAAATCTACTTATGTATGAGGTTATCTCAAACTTTGGGCAGATAAGAGGAACACACAGGGTTGTAGAACATTTGAGCTGTCACTTCTGTTTCTCTAGCATAAGGGCACAGACAGATACAATTCCATGTCAGGGTTTGGCAATTGTGATATTCTAAACCTTGATTTCCCAACAGCCTCAACCAGTGTGATCAATGGTGAGGAATGCTGTGAGCCGTAATCTATTATCTTCTGGAATGCCACAGGTTTACTTTTATTTTCTTTTGTTTTTTGTTTTGCATTGCTCTCACTGTATACAGAAACTAAAAGAATCAAAGCAATAATAAAAACAGAAAGTTCACTTGCCCAGAAAGACCATACTAAGCTACAAAGATCGTTTTGGAAGATAAACTTCTAAAAGGCTTATAAATAGATGAACTAGTAGTTAACCTGACACATAGTGATTATTACACCTCAGCATTCAGCTGACAAATAAAATGATATATGTGATGGTAGGGGGACCTTTAAGTAGTGTTATACCTCATAGTGCTTGACCTGTTTCAGTAGTACCTGACAATGCACATTAGTAATAAAACCAATTTAACCTTTTCATGGCTGCAATCCCTATTTGAAGAACTGAGAATAAAAAAGAAACAGCAGGGCACCAGTATAGTTCATCCAGTGAAAAAAAATACACATTATTCCTCTAGCTACAATGTAATTAATGCAACCCCTGCAGTATTCCCTGAAGTAGCTCTTGTGAACTACTAACAATTAACCCTTTGATCTGAGGAAAAAGATCATTATCCAATTATTTAAGACATTTGCAGGATAGTTTCTCTATAATGCTTAATACTCTATTACAGTGGTGGCCAACCTATGGCACGGGTGCCAGAGGCGGCACTCAGAGCCCTCTCTGTGGGCACGCGCGCTGTCCCCCCAGTTCTAGGCCTTCAGCTGGGTTTTATAAAACCTTTTCACTTTAGGCCTCCACTGCTGTGTGGAAAAAAAAAAGGTTCAATCAATGTCAATTTCAACTTCTCGCGGGGAAAAAAATGATCTTGCAAAGTTGGAATTGATTGATTGAACTTTTTAGTCCCACCCAGTCTGCTGTTACCACCGCAGCCACGCCCCTATGGGCCACGCCCACCCAATAGGCCACACCCACCCGGCAACCGACGATGCATAAGTGGGTTTTGGGTTGCAGTTTGGGCACTCGGTCTCTAAAAGGTTCGCCATCACTGCTCTATTAGCTGCTTTAAAATTGTAACTTTATTGTGAATATCAAATGCAGATATTTAAGAACCATTCAAAGAAACATCTAAAGAACAATTTTGCAGATCATGTAAAGTGAAAGTATTCTGCATACAAATTAAACAAGTTGTTTTTAATAGCTATCCAAACCAGCGTCAAAGGATATTGTTATAAGATGCCTATATCTTACAGAAGAGGCAGTATTCTAAACATGCATGTTGCTTGGAGTAAGATGATTTTAACAAGAATTCCAAGACATGTCTGTTTATAATCTGCCCCTTCTAAATCAAAATAAGATTTTGCTTAAATAAACACAGCTGCACAATAAAATCATGGCTGAGAAAAAAGATTAAATATCTCTTCTTATGAGGTGGAGTTCTAATAAAAATAGAACTTTTCCAATTCAAGAATCAGAAATAAGGAATATAATTAATTATAAAGCAAAATCCAGTTGGTATCATTCTAAGTATTATGAATAACTTTGTCAGCATATTTTCACTGCAGAGTTTACTTCAGATTATGCAGTAATCTGGAAAAAACAAACTCCAGACCGCAGTGTTATTTCTTAGTATTTTCTTCCCATGGTCAATGTTGAAGAGAAAAAAAATATGCATATGGAACGTTTTCAACATTTTGGAGAAAGTTGGCATACTACCGGTGTATGTGATATCAAACTGCATCAATCTGCAATACCAATGTTTTCCAAAATTTTGCAAATTGTACTAAGAACATACTTCACACAGTTGACTACCATCAAGTAAGACTGCCTGGGGATAGTAAAAGTTATAGTCCAACTTTTTCTCTTTGGGGAAGATGGCAAACAAGAAGTTGTATTAGTTCACTCCCATTTATAATAGGCGCCCACCAGACCAGCTTTGCTCTGGGTTTCTGACTGCACGAACAGAAAGGTAGAAACAATGAAATACCGTCCTGAACGTGTTTCCAATTGTCTGAGAAAGAAAACCACCCTTCTCTGCTTTTTCCTCTTGCCTAACCACTTATGCCTAGTAAACCCCGATCTCCACTCAGCCAACATGCTCCTTTGGTTCTCTTGGGCGAGAATGATGGGACTGGTAGTCCACCCAGATGGGAAGGGGAGCAATGGCTAAGAGGGATGGTCCGTCCCCCCAGAAGGGGGTGTGTCGCATGCCTTTCGCAAGAAAGGGAAGGTCCCTTCGGAGCAAAGACCCGTTTGCAAAACTGCTCAGGGATCTTAACATTTGCACATGACCGAGTTGTTGTTGTTGTTGTTCTTATTGTTGTTGTTATGCCGAGCGCAGCGCGTCTTTCCCAGCGCCCGTTCCACGGAGAAAAGAAAGGGAAAGAAGCGGCGGCCGACCCCGCCTGACCCTCTCCGGAAAGCCTCTTTTCCCCCGCCGCCACTTCCCCACCTGTCCTCGCTGGCAGTAATGATGCCGTCCTCTTTGGGGATAACGAGCGCAGCACTGACGGCGTCCTGGTGCCCCTCGATCTTGCTCAGCAGGACCGGCCGGCTGCTTTGAGGCCGCGAGTGGATCTCGGCCGCCATCTCGCCAGCAAGGCCGCGGTCGGCAGAGTCCGAGCAGCCGCCCCGACGAGAGCGGGCCCTAATCGTGGGAATAGCGGCGCCCCCAGAAAGCCTCAGCGGCCAGCCATTTTCCGTAATGCCCGAAGTAGCGCCGCCCCCGGAAGCAGTCGGAGATGGGAGGGGAAGGCGAGAATGACCGGGATAGCGGAGGCAGCGCGGGGTGCTGGGTGGAGAACTAAGATGGGTGGGTAGGCCAGCGCGGCCGGAAGGTCGCTCATTTGAAGAGTTATAGGCGGAAATTCATAATCGGGTTAGAGCAGTGTTTCTCAACCTTGACCATTTTAAGGCATGTGGACTTCAACTCCCAGAATTCCACAGCCAGCAATGCTGGCTGTGGAATTCTGGGAGTTGAAGTCCACATGCCTTAAAATGGTCAAGGTTGAGAAACACTGGGTTAGAGAAATGGGAAGTATAGATCAAATGGCTTTATGTGTCGGATCGCCGACCGTTTCAGCTTGTGCTGTCAGGAAAAGACCTTTCTGTAGAAACAAGATTTCTCCACCTTGGCAGCTTGAAGATGTGTGGACTTCAACTCCCAGAATTCCCCGGCCAGCTCAGCATACAAAAGACGAGAAATCTTTTACTGGTGATACTTTGGAGTAAGACACCAGAAGAGTCAGAAAATGCTGGCACTTACTAACAAAACTGACAAGTAATTGAAGGACTTTAATACACAGCACTTCAGGCGGTCACCTCTCGGTTGGATTACTGCAAAGTGCTCTACATGGGGCTGCCCTTAAAGGCCATCCCGAAGCTGTAACCTGTCCAGAATGCAGTGGCAGGGATAGTAATGGGTGTGTCACAATATGTGCGTGTGTTCCTGCTGCCTTGGGGCAGTACTGGTTGCCATTTGAATTTGGACTGCAATTCAAGGAGTTGGTTTTCACTTATAAAGCCCATGCATAGCAAAAGGTACTGTGTGTCCTCATATATTCCTGCCTGTCGGATAAGGTCAGGTGGAATAGGCACACTTCAGGTCCCATTTGTTAAGCAGGGTCATCTTATGGGATCTAGGAAGCAGACTCTCTGAAAACTTCCATCCCTTTGTAATGATATCTATACATCCCCACCCACCCCAATGTGGTCTTTTGTAAATCGCGTAAGATCTGATTGTTTTCCCAGGCCCTGAGGATTATTGGCTGTTTGGCTTTAACGGTTTCTTTTAGGTATCCTCTTTTTCCTACTGATAGTATTTATTTTCTTTCAAATTTTAAAGCTGCCCAGAGTCACCACAGAGTTAGGTGTCCTTGAAATTGAAATAATAAATAAAATACACCTCTATCAGTATATGTGTCAACTTATGGATGAGCCCTGTGTTGTCTTCTGTTTTTTAATCATACATTATAAGTAAATCTTTAGTACAAGCAAATCTTACAAGTTTCAATATTATTTTCTCCTAACAGAGACATCTGATTATCAAGAATCATTTATGCTTATTTTTAAAATACTTGTTTAGATATGAGACATTTAAACAAAGACACATTGTTTCCTAAGACACAAAGACACAAGTTTGTTTCCTTAAACAAAGACACAAGTTTCCTAAGAACTTTTCCTAATCACCTCTAATTTAAATATGATGAATTTGAATCATTGAAACTTTATTGCATTTCTGTTGGCGCACTTTAATTGTCGGTATTTAATGAAAACCATCACTAGATATACATTTTAAAAACTTGTGCTATCAACACTTTTTATTTATCTTGCAAAGCAGTTGGGAGTTGAAGAACTGTATTTGAAAAAGGAAACCACTGAACAATGCATGAAAGAAAGCCCGTTACCAGGTGGGGAAAAATATATTTTTCTTTGCTGATTGCCACTTGCATCCATATCTAAATAGAGAAAGAGGGTATGATTTCATCAAAAGTCCAGTTGCCTCATGAAAAAAAAGCTTCTTTGGGATAACTATGACCTGGATGACTAAGAATCTCCATAGACATCAAAAGGTTTATTGTGGAATGGGAGGGCAAAATAATATATGCCTTTGAAGTTACAGGAAAAGCCCTTCCCACATTTACTGAGTCAGCTAGGAGCAGAAAGGCCTCTGAGCTGAATCTAGTTCAAGGAAATTTACACAGTGAAACTTCCCTCAAGGGGAAAAGAATGTCATTTTAAAATCAACCCCCCCCCAAAGTAGGAGAAGAAAACTCTGGATAAAGAGAAGCCATATTATCCTGTGACATGTATATTCGTCTTCATTCGTGACAATATTTTCCTGAGAAATGATTTTGTATAGGAATTAGTATTGTATTGCTATTGTATAAAAAGATTAGATTTTTTTTATTCCAAGGGAAAGGTTAACTGTAGTTCTTTCAGGTGGTGGAAGTAAAATAACAATGAGAAAAACTCATGGCGATGAACAGCAGATTGCCAAGGAGTCTGCAACTCATCACAGCCAAATTTACTTCAGCAAGATAGTTATATCTAGCATTACTAATGCCAGCCATTACAGGAAATCCATGACAATATCACTAATAGATGCCCATTCCTTGTTTACTTGTGAAATGAAGAGATAATCCATAAAGAGATAATCTCTTTAATCAAATTCTCTTTTCTTTTGATTGTATTTATTTACTTATGGGACAGAAGTGTTTTATGTTTGAGACAGTCTTTCAAACATTTGAAAAGTGGTAAAACATATTATCTTCTAGTCTCCAGTTATCATGTTTACCACTGTTTTCTGAACTTAATCAGAATACTTGTGCTTAAATCATAGCATTTAGTACCAGATGCTATTTCAGTGCTATCTTTTCCCCTCTATTATAGCAAGCTCAAGTAAAGCAAATAAGCTGTTTATCTTTTTTACATAGGCATCAACTGTTTTTTCCTATAATGCTTGTGATTATTTGTAATGATGTGCAATTAATTCAATATAGGTAGTCCTTGACTTATGATCACAATTGAATCCAAAATTTCTGTTCCTAAGTGAGATAGTTGTTAAATGAATTATTCCCCATTTACAATCTTCCTTGACACGGTTGTTAAGTGAATCACTGCAGTTGTTTAGTTAGTAACATAGTTGCTAAGTGAATCCGGCTTCTCCATTGACTTAGCTTGTCAGAAGATTGCAAAAGGTGATCAGATAACCTTGGGACATTGCAACGGTCATTTGTGTGGACCAGTTGCCAAGGATTTGGTCACGTGATTGTGGGGATGCTACAATTGTAGCTGTGAAAAAAGGTCATTAAGTCACTTTTTTCAGTGACGTTGTAACTTTGAACGGTCACTAAACAAATGGTTGTAAATCAAGGATTACCTGGAGTAGAAACCACAATATACTGCAACGTAAATTTCTTTGTAGTGATCTGTCCACAAGATGGTGCTGAAACTATATTTTGGCTTTACTGTGTGAAAATAAGTTATTCAAACAGTAGGACAGTTGTGCCCTATTGAAGGAATGCATTTTAAACTTTATAAGCAAGAGATAATCATTATCAAGCATATACAATAAAAAAGATAGTTTTAGTAAAAAAGTGAAAGAAACATGTCAGACTTTTTATTAAAGCACGTTTTTGTAATTAATTAAAGGCAATAAAATAAATACTAACTGATGGTTTTAGAATACCACATTGTAAATTAATAGCCTTGATATTGATAAGTCATAACATTTCTCAAGTAACTTCTGTTAAATCCAAATACTAATGATAATTATTAACAGAAACAATTGAAAGGATGATTGTATAAAATTAAAGCATTAATACAACTGTTCCCCTATTTTATTTTATTTTTGAAGAGAATGTAATTGATCTTACTGGAATAATGAAATGACATATAAAACGTTTTTGACCAAATTTTATTTCTAGATACATTTTTGTGGCGTCCTTGGTTGTCTTTGAACTTGGTTGTTTTCTTGCAGATGTTTCATTACGAAACTTGATAACATCATCAGTGCTAGTAGGGGGGTAAGTTTTGCTCTCAATTTATATACTAATGGCTTGCTCTGTGTTAGTGGGAGTGGAGTTGACAGTTTCTTGATTGGACTATTGTTTACTGTTAGCTTGTGAGTTGATAATTTCTTAACAGGGATATTGTTTGCTTCTTGATTGGTGTTTTAGTGTTAATCTTGGCATTAATCTCTCTTCATTTGGATGTTGATTGTTGGTGAGGTGTTTATTGTTATTTTGTTTCCTTTTTGATTGTCTCATTTGAATGGTATATAGATGTTTTTTCTATGTGTCTGCTGATGGCTGATTTGTCTGTAGATTTTTCTGATATATTTCTATTTTTAGAACTTGTCCAATTAATTGCTCATAATTAAAGCAAACTCAATTTTAAATTGTAAGAATCTTTATGGAAAAAAAATTGATGATTTATTTGCCAAGATAATTTGCCTTTAAAAATTTCATATTTAATTAATTAGGCAACAAATTCAGTATTTCTTTCTCAATTTTATCTGCAAAATGAAACCAATAGCTTAGGTGCTCTCGATATTTAACCACAAAATGCTATGGTCTCTGACCTTGATAAGATTCCTTCTTTGAGGGTGAGACTACAAAGAGGGAAAATTAATATCAAAAATTACCCACTGCCAGTCTCCAGTGGTTGTTTTACAATACCAAGGAAAATGAAGAGAGCCAGAGAATCGGCCTACCAGGGCAAGTAGGGATGTGCATGACAAAGATCCACAGAAGGTTTTCATCATGTCCTCAATTTGAAGAATTTAGACTAGTCATTCAGCTGATCAAAATAGTTTTGTCTCTCATTGACTTGGTTTCCATTTTCAATTCCAAGAACAAACTTTGGTTTAGCAGAATGTACTAGAATATCTCACCTCTTTCTTTGGCCACAGAATATAATCAAAGATTCATGCGGATTCTACTGAAGTATGAGTGAACAAGAAATACCACATTTGTGTTTGTTCCATTTACTTCATAAGCTCATCTAATGTGATATGCCAATGAAAAAAATAATTTTCCCCTTAAGATTCAATAATTAGTTCTTATTTGTAGCTATAATAACTATCCTCAAATACTTCCTAAGATTGATTAGTATCTCATACTGTTGTACAGGAATTTGGACTCATTCTTCCATAGAAAACTGCTTTAACTCATTTTTACTAGTTTAATAAACTTATTAGACAATTTTTCAGCATTAACTAATAGTTTCATCTCCTGCCACAACGTTTCTATGGAATTTGAGTCAAAACTGTGACTTGACCTTTCCAAAATCATACATTTGTTTTTCATTCATTCATGGAGATTGCATCTATGCAATTGTTGTCTTGGAGGACTTCAAAACTAAGATTCATGGCCACCTTTGATTGATGTGACTCTGTCATGTTTTCAAATAAGCTTCACCTCTGTTTCTAGCAATTGTCCTGTTTGGAAAACCCAGCTCAGATCAGATCCAGAATTTCTTCTAATATCCCTTTAACTGAAATAGAAAAGTAATTACTTTTTCACTTCAGGATATTACATTGGACTTGATTTATGAAAGAATTGAAAAAAGCACCAAACTTTGGTGTTCTTTTTTTTACATTTCTTTTATATAACATAGAACAAACATAGACCTCTGGTAAAATTCATTGGCAAAGATATGCAAGCATTCAGAAAATCCAGAAGCAGACTAGTACATTTTCACAATTGCCAGGAATAACAATACTGAACCTTCTTTCAAGACAAATATTCTGCGACTCAATTTGTAGTTTCTTCTCAAATGAATAAAACTACACAACTTCTGACACGGTTTTATGTGTTTGTACAAATAGTCTTCTAACCAACTAAATTTTAACTTTAATCTACAATTGTCACTTATTTTCAAAAGTAACGAATCGTTTCAGCCACTATAATGTAGCATATAATAATTATTTGGTTTCCAGGTTCCATTCCACAAATATTTTTTATTGCTAAGCCTTACCCCAAACAGTAATAATAATAGTAATAAACTCCATCAATTACTGCACTCAACATAAGACATAAAATAGGGCCAAGAAAAAGCTTGAAAGCAATTGTCTGATTCTTTATCATGTCACAATTTGCTAATAAATTTGTATGCCTTCTGATCTAACATCTGTTTAATGAGTATTAGGAAAAGTGCAAAGCAGCAATAAGAGCAATAAAGATCATCAGAAACATATTAAGTACTTTATGTAAACAAGCATATGGTAATCTGTACCAGCAGCTTCAGTCTCTATGGCTGAAGATCTTGATTTCTACAGGATTGGTTCCTCAAAGTAGAATTTTCCTGCTCTGGGTGTATGCTCTTGATTCTCTCTCCCCAGATGGTTTAGGACAGTGGTGGCGAACCTATGGCACGGGTGCCAGAAGCGGCACTCGGAGCCCTCTCTGTGGGCACACATGCTGTTGCCCCAGCCTTGTCTCCACCTGCGACCCCCTCCTCACCAGCAGCCTCTCTGGAGAAGAGTCGCCCCTGAGCGTGGCCCACGCGGAGCAGCATGGCCAAGGACATGGCAGCCAGGCAGTGTAGACAAGACTATGCCCTCATGCCCCAATGCGCACAGTTGATGCTGCGGGGTGTGGGCAGAGGCCGTGGCCGCCGTGGCGCTGCTAGGCTGCCTGGGCAATCTGCGGCAGGTCCTGTAGGCGGTGAGTGGTCCTGCAGGCAGGCACGGTGGGGCGGAGTGGGAGTGGGGCAGGGGGTGGAGCAGGCGCGGGGCCAGTTTTTGGGCACTCGGTCTCTAAAAAGTTCGCCATCACTGGTTTAGGATGTGGGCTGGCTTTTCCCTTGGTTGCTCTGACCCTATGGAAACATCTTTCCAGAGTTTGGGATTGCCCTCCCCTTGTGTTCCAAAACAGATGAAAAGTATTACAATATCTTTCTTGGGGTCTTGGAGAATACTTTGATAAGAACTATAATTGCTACATTTGGTCTATGGTGATTAGAATTTTTTGTATTTGGTAATTTTAAGATGAAAGTACTTTTATGATCTATTCAATTGTGAATAATTTAGAGTCTTGGAATATTGTTAAATAAAATAAAGTTACATTGAACATAGATTTTCTTATGTTACAGATAAAACACAACAATTTAACACAGGTGTTTTCAAATGTTTTCAGGCAATAAAACCTGTTATTAAGCTCTAATGGTAGAAAATTGACAGAATGTGATTTTTTTAAAATTCTTTTTTTTTTCATTCAAGTTCTTGGAGAACCCCAGGATTGAATAGAATACATTTCAGGAAAAACAACAACTGATTTAACAATTAATACTGATATCCATGATTATATATATATATAAAACATTTTGTCCACATTCAGCTTTCTGGAGCATTTATGCCTGACACAGAAAAATATGCTTCGTATCCATGTGGAGGCTGTTACAAGAATCTTCCATTGAATTGCACCAAAATTATCTTTTAAGAGAAGCATATCTGAACGACATACAAAGCATATATTATTCGGACGAGTTAAAATACTTTCCAATATATGAAAAAGTTGCAACCTTCTTTCCAGGACATAAGGAAAAAACAGAGCTTTACCCAGGGTAATTGTATTGTTGGGAAAAATAATGTTAACATTTTAAAAATTATTTTAGGGCTATTTCAATCATGGACAATTTTTGAAGATATTGGTTTAAGATATTTGTAGCATACAAATATATTTCAGGAAAATAGTTGACATGACATTATTCTCCAATGAAAAGGTAATGATTTCCCTGTCCAGTTATGTCTGAATCTAGGGCATGGTGCTCATCTCCGTTCCTTGGCCGAAGGTACCAGCATTGTCTGAAGACATTTTCCATGGTCATGTGCCCAGCATGGCTGTATGCCAAAGGTGCATGGAATGCTGTTTTCTTCCCATTTAAGTGGTACTGATTAATCTACTCACATTTGCATGCTTTCAAACTGCTAGGTGGGTAAGAGCTTGGGCCAGAACGGGAGCTCAGTCCGTTGCTCGGCGCTAGAAGCTTGAACCTGGGCTGTCAGCTTTCCAACTGACAAGCTCAGCATCTTTGACTGCTGAGCCATGCCCCCCCCTATTGTCCCATATGATATAATAAATTACTAACATACAGACAGCCTGGAACATTTTTCAAATTTACTTAACAGAAGTATTCCAAAATGCAGGTCATTCCTTACAGGAATTATTTTATCACATGGAAATTTCATCTTAGTAACAGTTTACTTTCAACTTTATGAATTGTGAGTAATCGTTTCCCTTCAACATCACTGTGACTCAATATTCAACTGTTCATTATGATTTTATTTTCCTTTGTACAAAAAATATAAAATTTAAATCTATAGAATGTGTATACTAGCAATGACAAGTTTACATTACACCAATGTAAAGGCATTAATTGGAACATTAGTTGTTTAAAACTCAGCAACATGCACAATCTAAAATAAAAAAAAATGCTAAAGCTTTCAGTTGCTTTCTAATGACAAACGCCTCATCCAACTACTGAATTGTAGTAGAAGAAAGGCATAAGCAAATCCAACCCAAACCAAAATCGGACTTGTCCCTTTAATTTCAACTTGGTTTAAAAACAATATGAAATAGAACAACGAATTTTCAAAAGTTGTTAGCACAGAGAGCTAATCAGTAGTTTTAAGGAACTTTACAATGTTTTCAAAAAGGCATTTTATTCTTCCATAAAGAATTCCAGCTACTTAAGGTTTTTTTTCCCCCCAAACTAGATGACCAACGTTTCCAAAGCTAGTTCAGAGCTGAAAAACAGGGTACAAAAATATTTAAACAGTACAAAGGCATCAATCTTTAGTTTTCTTCAGAAGAAAAGAATCTCTTCCTGTACTCAAGGTTTGGTGATTTGTCCCATAAACAAAACAGCACCTAAACAAGAAATATTATTGCAGAATTTTCATTAATTCACAAATACAAAATATTGTTACAAAACCTCAAGATAAAAGTTTTCATCTAAACAGCAATTTCTAAAATTACTGATTACTATATAACTACCAGATGGAAGTTAGCAGTTACAATCTCATAAGCCTACAAAGTGTTTGAAATGTTATGGTTTGGCTGTAAGCAGATTCAAATGTAACACCTCACTCTGTTATTAAGTTTATTTCATAAAGAAACCCTTAAACCATATAAAATATTTTTTTAAATTCAACGAACAATTTATTTAAAAAAATAAAATATCCCGGTAAGAGTCTAATTTTTTAATGACTTAATAATTTTTTAATTTTGCTTATGTCAAAATCAGGCACAATAATTATCTAAATACTCTGCAAGGGAATGGAAATTCATTAAATCTTTGTGGCTGCTCATCATGGTAAAAAAATAAGATCATTAAGAAAATAGCTGATAAATGAATCTTTATTTCTCACAAATATTCTCACAAAGATGGGAAATGACCGCTCCGCTTCTTACTGGGTTTAGATGTTTTTAATAAATTACTTGAAGACTTAAATATATTTTAATTTAATTTAATAATTTAATCTAATTTTAATTAGATTTATTATGTTAACTTAGTTGCTGAAAATCTCACCAATATTTTTCTAAAACCAATGTAAAATGTACCTTTGAATAAGTCTCTATTTTAAGTATATCAGAATACAAAGCTGTGATTAAGAATGATCAAATATCTCATTTATGCTAATGCTGCAGGAATGTTATTTCTTGAATTTTATTTGGTCTTTACTGTATATAAATTTGTGGGAGAGGGGAAGAAATAACTGTAAAACACTGAATAAAATATACCATTTACCCCTTCCGAGTCATATTTGGAGGGGAAAATGGTGGTTTCCCTAGCACCTGCCTTACATTTAGTTTAGAATATCAATGAGAAATGGATCAAAGCTCTGAGATGTGTGGCTGACAATTGGCCACTGTGCATCTTCAATGTTGCATAATGTGCCTTTGATGTCCTAAGCTGCCCATATCTGGGAACTGATGCCAGAACTCAGCTCTTCCAAAGAGTTGGCATTTTCTTTCAAAGCATGCATCATAATATGTAGATTAGCTAAGAAATACACTAATGAAACACAGAATCTATTTGTTCTGGCAACAACTCCTAAGTGTCTAAATCCTGCACAGCTGCAGATTACTCTGTTCCTGTCAAGAAAAGGCATTTCTTATTAACAATAAAGAAGAATGGAGTTTGGGAACCTTATTTTGAAAGACACGGAAGCAAGTCTGAAATGTTTTTGCGCTTCAGGTCTGCCCATGGACAAAAGCGGCCTGAATTTAGCTAATATAAAAAAAAAGTGTGACAGAATTACCTGTAGGGTTGTGCCGTATGAAGAATAAAAATGGTCGATCCACTACAAACCAAGGAGGTGATGATCGAGCTGTTACAATTGCAGCTAGACAAAGCAGAATAAAAACTTGAATGATTACTTGTTCTTGGCTCTGAATAGCTACCGTATGAACTGAATTTATCTTTTTACGGTTAAATTAAAAAAAATTCAATACTGGATAAATACTTTTTAAAAAATAAATTAATTTTTTCTCAGAACAGATCTTAGAAATATGCAACTTTCTATCATGGAAGAAAAACAGCCAGGACAATAATGCAAATGGTCTAGTTTTAGCAAAAACAGTTTTTTTCCCCTGCCAGTAACATTTGCTTAGTTTTGTATGGTATTCTAAGGGCCATATTCAAATTCAAATATAAATATTTAATTATAAATGGATAAAATGTTCATGTATTCCAAAATGTTCTAAGGAAGAATATGAAAATTTTAACAGGAAAAACAGGATAGTATCATACATACTTTTGATACTAAATACAGATCTTTTATGAAAGTATATTTAAAAAAAAGATTATATTGTAAGCACAACCAATGTTTTTGAAAGTATGAAGCAAATATGTAACATTTAAGATTTCTGTACAATATACCAGCTATTTTGTTTGTACATATAATTAAATTACCTGTGCCAAGCTACAGACAGTAAAATGTTTTCTAAATCAACACACATCATTACTTGAAGAAGTATTTTAAGTAGAGATGTTGTGAAATGCAGTATTAAGTTTCAAATTACTATATTTTAGTGCTCAGATTCAGCAATGAGAAGTTTCTTCTATTGGCAGAATTAAATACAGAATCCTTAAATTATACTTTGGTCTGATTTTAATATTTAGGAAATAATATGTTACATTGTTCAGGCCAAATTCCATGTGCTTCTTTATTAATTTTTTGTTTTATATAAAAATAAATTCACCAAGCTTTTAAAAGAGTGAGGGGAACTTTTTGGAATAGATAAAGATATAGCTTTTTAATGCTATTTCAGTATTTGTAGAACTTTTTGGTGATTTAGATCAAACAAATACTTACTTGTTGCTGCAGAAGCTTTCGTTCCATCTTCACTTACTTCAATTTTTGCTTTTTGCAAGAGCTGAGATACATAAATGTTTTCTGATCCTAAGGGGTCAACCATAACATACGTGTATGAATCATTGTTTCATTCCTTCAAAAAGCAAATTCATTTTCAATTATAAGAAAACCCAGAGCAACAGAAGTTAATGAAAATCTGATTCCATACAGATTAATACATATCAAAATATTTCACACATGGTCCTGATTTTATTTATTTACAGACATTGTTATCTTCTTATCTAATAAAAAGTTCCAATGATGATATTCATGTGATATGATTCAGTACAAATTAAAACAATGCACTGCAGGGCAAGACAAAGCAATTATATGCAAACAATGACTAACAGGTATTAACCACATTATATTTGTTTATTCAAATACTCCAGGGTCTGGATGAATGGATCCAAGTTCCAGGAAGAATGAATTATTTTTTTTCAAAATTATTCAGTACACAAGCTTTATTTTTTAATTCTTTTATAAAGGGAAAACCAATGCAAATGAGCATTTTTTTTAAAAAAAACACAGAACAAATACTGTATATGTACACCCTGAACAATTTCAAGTTTCAGAAACACTAATCTATGTTTTTGTGAGGCATATAACTTTCACAGGAAATAGCCCAATTATTTAGAAGATATTTCTAAATACCTTCTAAATCTAGGTTCAAAACTTTGTTGATTAACTGAAAAAACTATTAATACCAAAGATTGACTGGGTATATTTAGCAATAGCAATAGACCTATATACCGCTCCACAGTGCTTTACAGAAGGGGTCCCCAACCCCAGTCCACAAACCATTATCGGTCCACAGGATATTGGGAATCGGTCCATGCAAGCGGTGGATAAGTGCACAAAGCTCCATTTGCACAAGAGGTGGGCGCATAAGCCAAACCATCCTCCACCTCACCACTGCCTGTCCATGGAGCCAGAAAGATTTAAGACTGCTGCTTTAAGCACTCTTTGAGCAGTTTACAGCATCAGCATATTGGCCCCAATAATATGGTTCCTCATTTTATCTACCTTGGAAGGATGGAAGGCTGAGTCCATCCTGAGCTGGTCAGGATCAAACTCCTGGCAGTAGGCAGAGCTAGCCTGCAATATTACATTCTCGTATGGCACCACCATAGCTGCTATTTGCCATTGCCATTCAGAACTATCATAATTAGTATGTTTACATGTCTAGAATTTTTACATAATTTCACATTCAGAATTAAAAAACATACACATGTTGCAGAAACCAACATCAGCTTTCCAACCATAGCTCATTCAACCCATCTTTATGGGTTCATGCACTGTTGAGAAACAATTTTTGCTACATAATTACATTATTATGTACCGCCCAGAGTGGCCATAAGTGAGTTCGGAGGTTATACAAATTTGATAGACAAATAATAAATGAATGGATCTCAGGACTGGACTAGGCTAAAATAGGGTTGCCTAATTTTTTGTCTCAAGAATCAGGCACACAAAGCTAGCATGTTCTGCTGATTTTCTCTGTTAATAAATCAGATTTTTCACATTACTGATGTAAATCAAATATGTAATATGGAAAAACATGCACCTCTGACTATACACCAGCCTTATGTAGCCTGATGTTCAGACTATTGAACTATAATTCTCACTAGTCCTAGTCAACACAGCCAATAGTCAATAAAAATGAGAGTTGTGATTCAACATATGGAAACCTATTTCCTGAGAAATAATATAGCACAACAGGTTTCCTTTTCAAATTCATATTCAAGAATAATATGTACAAAGTCAAAGCATCACTTTTCTATTTATCTGTAATTCCTAAAGGCATAAATAAGAGCAATAGATGGTAACTCACTTGTTATTTTCGCAAAGTTTGCCCTTGATTGATCAAACATATCTCGAATACCAAGTTCCTTGAGAGGTTCTTTTAAATCTGTTTCTGCTTCTGCTGTAAACCTGGGGGAGCCATATCAAATATATAAGATTTCCTGTAAAACTATCAATTGTATTTTTTCCATTAAAATGAGAAAAAAAATTACATACTTGGGCAAAATGACCTGTACCCTCTTTTGAACCATAGTTGTCATCCAACTCTGTATAGTTTTTGTGCTAATATGAGGAATAATAGCAGACAAGGGAGTTGAACTTTCTGCAGGCAAAGCAATCAACATGCTAATACTTTCACCGTGATATGGCAGTTCTATAGTATTATACCACAAGTCATTAGGAGTGCTGGTTGTGCCTATAAAACAGGAAGCAAATAAAAATAATTTAAAATACATAAGGATTGGAATAATATAGTGTTTTTCTCAGTCAGCCTACAGATGTGGAGGAGGGGGCAATATGAGTACTACTACTATTGTATAAAAACTCTTTTTGTATTTTCACACGAAATAAGTTCAAATAGACATGAAATACAGTTAGTAATCTAAGAATGGAATGGAGAAGGAAACCATTTTCCTGACTCAAGTTTAACAGAACCTAATCGGGACATTTTAAATCAGCAATGTCACAATGTTTTATTGGTTTCAGTACCACAGACTAACATGCCAACTATGCTAATCAAGGCCAACTCACTCTTCAAATTTGCCAACACGATCAGAAACTAAAGGTACCACCAGGAAGAACCCAGATATTTACAGAATTAGACTACAGGTAGTCTTTGACTTACAACTACAACTGAACCCACAATTTCTGTTGCTAAGCGAGACATTTGTTAAGTGAACTTTGCCCCAATTTACGACCTTTCTTGACACAGTTGTTAAGTGAATCATTGCAGTTGCTGAGTTAGTAACAGGGTTGTTAAATGAACCTGGCTTCCCCACTGACTTTGCTTGTCAGAAGGTCGCAAAAGGTAATCACATGAGCACAGGACACAGCAACCGTCATAAATATGACTCAGTTACCAAGTGTCTGAATCTTGATTACATTACCACAGGGATGCTGCAATGGTTGTAAGAGTGAAAAACAGTCACAAGTCACTTTTTTTCGTGCCATTGTAACATTGAACGGTCACCAAATGATGTGTTGTAAGTCGAGGACTTACTGTATTACTATAACATTCAGTATGACTTTAGTCCAAAGTTTTGATCTACTTTATGTATATATAGCCAATGAATGTGCAGTTGTAAAAAGCTTAAGCACTGGATCTCCTACCGAAAATATTAACATATACATTCTCCATTCTTTCATGGCAATGTGTTTAGGGATTGATGTCAAGGTACCTGTTTCACAACAAAGCCAGTGAAAGTATACTTATGTTCAGAGATGCTGAGGAGATAAGACAAGACTCCAAATGGACGCGCCAAGCTTCAAGATATGTGATTACCTTGACTTTCTGAGGAACACTTTCTTGGGTAGCTTTGTGAAGCTCTTTTCTAAATGACCTGCACAATCCCACTAAATATTTTACTTAATCTTAGTCTACAGAATTTTAGAGGAAGGTAAATTTCAGAATTTTAAAATTTTATTGAACATACCACATCGGAACACTGACAACTGAGCCAGCATAGGCACTTGATAAGTCTTTCCATCTCCTTCATTGAATGTTCGCTTTTTTGTGTTTTCAGGTTGAAATCGGGACCTCCACAATCCCTTAAAATATACTGCATTTATCACTACTAGTCTGGTCAGAGCACTGTCAATATCACCTGGGGTTAGGACACTGTCGATCATACCTAAACAAACAAAATCCAACCTCAATTCAGCAGTAGAAAATAAAGAACACATTTGACATGTTATTATATTAAGTAAAAACTGAAGCAACTTCAGAGGAGTCACATGGTCACTGGATTTTCATGCCACTCCACAATCTGGTTAAAAAAAAAACATGCCCACTATTCTATCCTGTATGGACCTCTTATGTTTTCTCTGGGAAGTGCCTGCTATTCCATGACTTGGGACATTGTACTGTAAGGGTTTAAGACATCATGGACTCTTTTCCCATTAATCTGGCACATAAGAGGAAGCTGTATAGAATCCCATCCAACCAGAAGCACCTCAAGTCACTATCCTAACATGTCACAACTCTGCTTGCCATTCCCTTAATTGCCCTCTCTTGCAGTCACTATCCATTTGACTCAATTCTACCCAACATCTCCTTCCCCAATCCCTACCAAATAATGCCCTTCTGCCTTCCTTCAATATGCATACAAAAGACTAAAGCTATAAGCTTTCCACCTTGTCAGTCCAGCCCTCTTAAAATGACCCATGATTTTGTATCCTAAAAGAAATGTGATAGTTCACATTGTTTCTTAAGCAATCTGAACACTTCAGTGTTTAGCATTTCAGTTTTTCTACTTATGCTTAGGAGTGAGAGTGGCTGGAAAAGGGAAATAGTAATAGCAAGACACTCAGGATTAAAAATTCTAGGAAGAGATGCTGCCAGATCCGAGGCACTTTTATTACTATACTTAACTATTAGTGTTCACAATCCCATACAAAACAACAGAGTAAATGCAGTATATATTTTTTTATAATGCTTGAAACCAAAATTTAGGCACTGGGGAAAAGAGACAACAAATTAAAGAAGAAACAAGAGACTGAGAAAAAGAAAAATATCACATACCCTCAGTTTTATTTTTGACCCACTGGTTCATAGTGTCAGAAGCAGCATTCGGATCCTTGAAATTTATATTTTTGACAGGGCACTGAAACACTTCACTGTTTCTAGAAATAAAAGGTGCTTCCATTTTCAGCCCACTGTTTGCAAAAACTACATTTGCAATTTTAACAATATCCTTATTCTTCCTTGAGACAATAGCTTTGTTTATCTTCTTCAATACTTTACCAGCTCCTGATTGAAAGACAAATTAAGAGAGTATATAGACACGTGTATATACACAGACACTTTATAAACAATTGGAAGCATTCAATGGCTAAAGGGTATTCTCATTTATAAATCTTTTGCTCACCGTTGTTAGATTACATGGCACAGTCATATGACTCAAGTTTTCACTAGTCTTATGTGAGATTTTGCTGTTTTGTTGCACTGATTGTGTTGGTTTTATTTTAATTTTATAAATAAACCACTTATTAATAAGGGAGATATATAAAACCAACAATTACTATTTGGGTTAAAGAAGCCAATTAAGATAAAGGTAAGTACACTTGGCTTTCAGAATCTAACTTGATCTTTTTTACTACAATTTTATTTATTTAGATTTTTTTTTACCCCACCTTTATTTAATTTATAAATAACTCATGGCAGTGAATATAGATAATACTCTTTTTTCCTTCTATTTTTCCCACAACAATGACCCTGTGAGGTGGGTTGAGCTGAAAGGAGGTGATTGGCCCAAAGTCACCCAGCTGGTTTTCATGCCTAAGGTGGAACTAGAACTCACAATCTAGAATCTTCCATCAGTGTATCAGAAGGGGATCAGTAATGAAGACACATTTAAGATATGTTCAAATATTAAAATTTATTAGTACCTGGAATGAAATAATAATTTTATCTATCTATCTATCTATCTATCTATCTATCTATCTATCTATCTATCTATCTATCTATCTATCTATCTATCTATCTATCTAAAATTTATGCTGCCCATCTTTTCCCTATATGTTGACTCACAAACCTATGGAGGAACTTTCTGAATTTTGACAATGCTAAAAACAAATCTAGGAAGCAGGAATTTTTTATGATCTATTATAGCTCATCATCCATCAGTAGATGCCAATCTGCTGTTGTTCACCCTGAATTTCTAGAGGCAAACAGGTCAGTTTGCAACAAAAAGAAAAGTTCGTGTTGCATCCTACAGCCTTATTTATTATTTCTGACACAAACAGATACACTGAACAGATAGCATCTGTAGGAGAGATGGAGGGAAAATCACTGTATATATGTCAGAGTACCATGGTTCTATTCCTCTGGTCACCCTATTGCATAGGTCAGTGGTGGCGAACCTATGGCACGCGTGCCAGAGGCAGCACACAGAGCCCTCTCTGTAGGCACGCGTGCTGTCGCCCCAGTCCCAACTCCCCCCGTGGCCCCTTCAGCAGCTCCTCCCCCAAAGGAGAGTCGCTCCTGGGCATGGCCTGTGTGGAGCAGCGCAGCCAAGGACATGGCAACCAGGCAGCATGGACAAGACTCTACCCTCGTGCCCCGTCACGCACAGATGATGCTGTGGGGCATGGGCAGAGGGCATGGCCGCCATGGCGCTGCAGGGCCGCCTGCAGGCCATGGAGGCGGTAGGTGGTCCTGTGGGTGGGCAGGGCGGTTTTGGGGCACTTGGTGTCTAAAAGGTTTGCCATCACTGGCATAGGTAATAAAGACCTCTAGTTTGAAAAGTGAAGGTCATAGTAAACAAAAAAAGCACTACACAGTTATTAGTCATTGAAGCAATCTGTGACTAGTTGCTGTTTCTCTTGTTAAGATGCAATACAAAACATTAAAGAGAAAGTTTCTGGATGGGAAAAACAATAAGGGTGTGGCCTAGAAAAAGCACTAAGATGAGTAGGAAAAAAAGTAGAATTCTGTAAAGTTTGATATGGCAACAACAATGATATGGCAACTGCTCCCGCTCCTCTCCCCCAACAGTCAGATTATACTGTTAAATTGCCAGGAAGCACAATAATATTTTATAAATATCATACAAATGCTCACACGGATATGTATGCATCCTGCATCAGGAGCAAGAAGCAGGTGGCATTTTGTTCTTTCTGCACATTTTTGGCAATGAAATTCAATCCTGCTTACTCTGGAACCAAGAAATTAGTTCTTGTTAGATTTACTGTGCTTTAGCATTCGTGCCAAACACTGGAGCCAAGAATGCCTTCTGGTATGAGAGATAATGCTTCACTGTCATCTACTTAGTATGCGTTAGGACATGATAACTGCTTAATGTACTGAACAACAGTAAGCACTGTTTTCCTACAGATTTCTTTACGTGCTTATGGAAAAGTTATGGCACAGATGAACTTATTTCAGAAATTAATACAAAAGGTCCAGATCTTGAAATAATAGATCAAAACCACTGACCATTTACACTGTATCTCATCACTGTAGTCAGCTGCTTCTTTGTCTTGCTGTCTGCTCCTAGCTGAAGCATCCCAAGCACTGATGCAATTCCATGTGGAGAAACCACAACATTATCGCCAGCTCTGGTTTTGACCAGCTGATTGAAAACTTGGATTCCAATGTCCGATCCCAATTCCTCGAGTGACAAATGATTTTGAGGAAAGCACGCATAGGTTGAAATCAAGGCAGCAAAGAGGAGAGGAAAATGCCAATACATGGTTCCAATCTAGAACAATCTGAAAAAGAACAAAGAATGTATACAACATGAAATGGCCCAAACCAGGTGAGTCTGGTGTGTGGATGTTTCTTCTAAAACTCCTAACTACCATAGTACTTTATCCAGCTTCACAAATTCAAATTTTAAATCAGTACCCCCACTCATAAAAACTGCACCACCACAAGAGGAAAAGCTGACAATTATTTGCAGCAAATTGTTAACAGAAGTAAAATAAATCCAGATTCGGTGCATGATGATTTATGCTATTATGTCAGTATCTCCACAGTCCCACGTTAAGCAATACAGCAGCTTTAATCACAACATATTTTAAAGAACGCTAACTCTGTTATATTTGCTTCTAAGAACATCCTTTTACAGGAAAAGCATTTTTACAATTCTGAAATCATAATTTGCCCATTAATTTAATGTATCTTAATTCTACTCATGTTTTGCTCTCTGGAATGAAATTGTTGAAAATCTTATTTTACTTCTGAACTCCAAGTCCTGATACAGAATAAATCAAATGTTTAAGCACTTTCATTCCTTTAGCTTGAATGCACTGGAAACACCGTTGGTTACAGTGTACATTCTTTAATCTTCTCTCCTTTTCTGGGCATTGTTCAAAGAATAATATTTGATTTTGCAGGCAATAAGCAACACTGATCAAGGACGAACATCCTTTTGTGTATGTTCTCAGAATGGGAGATGGTAAGAAGTTGAAACAAATAAATAATTTAGGCAGGAAAAAACTTAAGAGTCTTTGTTTAAAGGCTATTTCAGACACACCATGCTTTAGTAGGCATAAGAATTTCTATAAGTATACTAATAGAGACACCTTGAGTATTCAAATAGGATAAGCGGATAATCTAACTGTTGTGCAAACAAAGCTCCTCTCTCTGAAATGTTACGGCAAAACTGCTCTGAAACTTAGTCCCCACAGTAATTTCTTTCACCGGCAATCACTCTAATGACAGTATTTGCTCAATCTCAGTAACTTTAAGTTGTGTAGACTTAAACAACTCCCTGGATTCTCCAAATAGCATGTTGGGTGAGAAAGTTTTTGAGGTTGAGAAAACATTGCTGTACAATATCATCCTAATAGTTACAAACTTCCAGAAAGTGAGTAGGGAAGGCACTGTTTGAGTCTCTATAGTAAGCATGTTCAATAGTCCAAAAGCTACCATGGGCAAGGCCCACCTCCTTGACTAACTCCCATTAATTACATAAGGAAGGTTTCTAAGCAGAACTCTCAAGATAATTGGATCAAATGAATGGAATCAATTTTTACAGGAAAAATCCTGATGTAAGTGCTGTACTGGATTTAAAGGGCGAGGACTTTGATTAGGACCTGGAAGTCGATAAAAAATCAGGGCAGTGTTCTCAAAACCAGGATTACTCTACAAAGGCAGAGATAGTTTTGTATATAGTGCAGATGTCTCGCAAGGGACATAGCTATTTTAATACTTCAAAAACAAATGCTTTCTTCATACTAACATGTTCCAAAAAGCAGCTCCTTTAGCTATAATATGTAATTTTTCATCATATTTTAATTTTATAAGAATAAAGTAACCTAGAAATTAGATAGCCAATTTGATCAGAAAGGGATCAGCATAGGTCAAAAAGTATTCTTTTTTCAATAAATACAAGTATTTAATTCATCTAGAAAAAAAATACATTATTCAATTAACTAGTTCACAATACTTTTAGCAGAATCCATATAATAGGAAGAACTGCGAAGACTTCAGTTTAGCTCTTGCTTTCCTGCTTTGTCATTTGCATTTCAGTGAACAAAGCTCGACAATCTTACACAAAAGCAATTCAAATATAATTATGTATTTAGATTATTAACTAAGCTTGCAATATAATTTAATATAAAGAAATGAACTGTCTGCTCAGATTTTATTTTTCACATTTTTTAATCACCCATCTGCCGTGGAGAGAGAGATTTGTCTAAAGCAGGGGTCTTCAAACTTGGCCCTTTTATGACTTGTGGACTTCCAGAATTCCTCAGCCAGGCACACTGGCTGAGGAATTCTGGGAGTTGGAGTCCACAAGTCATAAAAGGGCCAAGTTTGAAGACCCCTGATCTAAAGCAAGCTCATGCTATGCTTTCTTTTTCAATGCATATGCTAATATTTCCTTAAAGATGGTAGATGGATATTTCTAAAGCAATGTCCAGTTCCCCAAAGTTAAAAAAGAAAACTCAAGTATGCAGAGCATGGCTTCTAGAACTGTTTCCAACCTTATCATCAGTTATGTCTGATCAATCAGAAGGCATCTATCAGTTCTATCATTAGAAGCAGAAGTATTTCATTGCATATAATGAAGTAAAAGAAGTTTGAGCATACAATTTTATCCCAGGGGTGAAGGTGGTTCATATATGCTATATGCATATGTTCCTTCTCTGCCTTTCTGTTGCATCTCTGGGTGTTTGTATATTAAACATAACTTGGGAAGCATGAGGAGGGGAGGTATACACTTCATTCTGGGTCATGTGATTGAAAAGGGAGCTTCCAGCGGAGATAATAGCAGCATATGTAGGTAGTTAGACAGCATTCTGATGCCTTTTAGATAATTTCTTCCAAAAATTCATTTGGTTGGAAAAAATAAAGGCAGGGATAACACACAAAGCATGTCTTCTAGAATGCTTTTCAATCCCTTAATCTGCAGTGGCCACAAAAGCACCCGTAGTTTCTTTTGTGAGGGTAAAAAATGTGCTGCACCTATGGTAGTGTTTCTGCTTTTCCTTTGTGCTGCATCTCAGTGTTTACATAACAGTGTGCATTGGGAAGCAGTGGGCAGGCTGTGTATGCTCTGCTCTGAATCACATGACTTGCAGGTGGGAGGGCTTAGAAAGGAGCAGCTGCAAACATTTTAAGCAGCTGCCCAAACGCCTCTCATATAAGGCTGAATATGGATGGGGAAAGCAATGTTTTCCTTCACAGCCCCCACATTGATCTGGCCCATTTTCAAACTCTTTCTCCTGCCTTATCAAATTCGCTCCATTATGTTCTGTCATAGAGTGGTCCTACTGAGAGATAGAACGACCAAGTTTTAACATAAATTCAGTCCACATTCTTTTAGGCTAAAAAAAAATAAAATTGGTGCATAGCTTATTGAGAAAAGATTTCAACATCATTTAGGTTTTCCTAGAAGTGCTGGTTTCTTTTTAAAAGGCTGCTGTTAATAAGGCAGCAATGTCTAAATGCCTTTCATAAACAGTTATGTAACAGCCATAAAAAATATTTTAGGAATTGTTTATCTTTTAAAATTTTAATATTCAGATTTTATTTTTAAAATGTGACTGCTGCCTAAAAGAATCAGATTAACCTGGGACAGCTTATAATAGGTTAAAGCAGTTGGTGTCAAACTGCTGGCCCGCGGCCATGGCAAAAAAGTCGCAAAATGTCGCAACACGTCACATGATGTTGCAAGTTTGACACCCCTGGGTTAAAGCCACACAAAATAACAAAACAATTCAAATGAACCTTCACTCAGCCTGGGATGATGGGAAATGTAATCCAAAATACTGACAGCACCAGGCTGAGGAAGATACTAGAATAGTCCGCATATTGTACTATAAATGGATATCTGCTTTCCAGGACTAGATTGCAATGTAATAATTTCTTTCACATAAGCACCTAAAAGGGCACGGCCTATGTGATTTTGAGAGGAAACAAAGAGAAAATATATAAGCTCTTCCTGAAAGGAGAAATTAAAAAAGATAAGAAATCAACTTTTTTTTTGGACTAGAATAGAACTGGAAGGGACCTTGGAAATCTTCTAGTCCAGCCCCCTGCTCAAGGAGAAGAATCTATACATCTCAAGACGTATGATTGTCTAGTCTCTTCTTAAAAATCCCCAGTGATGGAGTGCCCACGATTTCTGGAGGCAAGCTATTCCACTGGTTGATTGTCCTCACTGTCAGGAAGTTTCTCCTTAATTCCAGGTTGCTTCTTTCTTTGATCAGTTTCCAACCATTGTTTCTCGTCCTTCCCTTTGGGGCTCTGGTGAACAACATGACCCCCTCTTCTTTGTGGCAGCCCCTGGCTCATAGTTAAGCGATTGTCCACTAGGAATCCAAGGTCCCTCTCACAGTTACTGTTTTTAAGCCAGGTCTCGCCCAATCTGTACTTGTACCTTTGATTTTCCTGCCTAAATGTAAAATTTTGCTTTTCTCCACACTGAAACTCATTTTGCTGGATAAGGCCCATTGTTCAAGTTTGTCTAGATCTTTTTGTATCCTGAATTTGTCTCCTGGGGTGTTGGCTATTCCTGCCAGTTTGGTGTCATTTGCAAATTTGATGAGTTCCCCTTCAATTCCCTCATCTAAGTCATTGATGAAGATATTGGATAGTACTGGGCTTAAGACCGGAATCTTGTGGTACCCCATTGCTTACTTCTCTCCATGTGGATGTAGTGATTGAGGACTACTCGTTGAGTACGGTTTGTCAGCCAGCTATAGATCCATCTGGTGGTGATGTTGTCTATTCCACCTTTTTCTAGTTTACCAACTTGTGGGATGTTATTTGATAGGATCAAAAATTAAGTTTTTTAAAAAGTAAAAGTGGTCTTCAAAGTGAACTTAATCAGGGTTAAAATATGTATTTGTGGTTTCTGGTAGCTGTTAACAGGATTTCCTTTTGAGCAGGACTTAATAATGAGGCTTTAAGGATTTATTTTTAAGTGGGGAGAGATTTCTCTTGCTTTATTGTGATAAATTGATTATAAAATTCATTTTTTAAAACATTAAGGTGTTACTATTTCTCACATCTATATAGAGTTGTTTGCTTATTAGGTCTGAATTATTAGGTCTTGAATATTGATAAAGTATGAGATATGGGAAGAATATTTTTTAAAATTGAAATACAGGTCATCTTCAACCTATGATGATAACGGAGCCTGCCCATTACAGTTGCAAGTAGTGACAGTCATTAAGTGAGACAGCCTCCTTCATAATCCCACCCCTTCTCTTCCTGATACCACGGTTACACGAACCCAGGGGTCATTAAGTGAGCA